CACGCTGTTGATTCTGTTGTTTGTGTGCTTCCTGATACTGAGTTGCATGCAGGGTTATCAAGAATTCTAAGACTGCGATGGCTTCTTCTACTGGAAATCTTCAGCTTTCCGAAGAAGAGATCGTCCTTGATATTGATGGGACAATTCCAACTCAACCTGTTCTTCAACATATTGGCATTGCTGCATGGCCTGGTCAGTCCTTCGTTCGAATAGGAATACCCATAACAGATTATATATGTTGAAATAGTCTAGTTGTCCCGGTTGATTAGAGTTGCACTCTGAGTGGTTAAGATACTACTAGGATGATGGAGGATTCAAATAGCTTGTATAGGTTGTTAGCAGCTCCTGTTTTTTTTTCTTTCTATCCTTGCTAGCCTTCTTGTAGGATAAAGTCACAAAATTTAACCAGCTCTGCTATCCTAACGATTGTTCTTTTTCTTCTTCCTGTTATTTACAGATCATAACTTGAATTTATGTTTCACTAAGCTTTCTACTGCTCTACAATGCACAGACAAGCCAAATATCACACTAAGAGTTTGTTTGAATACAAATTTAAAAGAATTTTTCTATTAAAAAAAACTTTATTTTTAGTAAAGAAACTTTCAAAGATTTTTTAAGCCTCTATCCAATCAGACTCTATGCTTTTGACTGTAGATGAGTACTTACAATTTAACACAATCCTGCTGGAGTCACGGAATGACTGAGAGATCAATCAGTCACAAAGGGCTGCACTCAAATATTTGCAGTAAAATATTCCTAGAACATTCCTTCAGCTGGTTTTTTGCTGTAGTTAAAGGTAACCTATAAAATGGTTAGGCATAACGAAAGTTAGTTTGCACGAAAAACACATGGAATAATCTCCTGAATTTGTTACTCAAGGGAAGTCTCGGAAACTTTTTTAACTAAGCCACATTAGGGCCCCCAATTAGAAGATAATTTGATTAATACAGCAAATTGGATTGGATTATGTGGAATGAAATAAATTCTTGTAGATTACGTCGTGTAATGTGTTGGCCTTTTCTTTCTGCTTTATGTCCGAGTAATGTAGTAACAGAAATGCTAGGAATCCATTTTCATCGGGCTGACTAATAATCCATGCATGTTTTCCACTTTACTCAGTTGTACCTCAATTTTCTGACCTTTATAGGGCGGTTGACCCTGACCAATTTCGCTTTGTACTTTGAGTCGCTGGGAGTTGGTGTATATGAGAAAGCTGTTCGATATGATCTGGGGACAGACATGAAACAGGTCATAAAGCCTGATCTAACTGGACCCCTTGGTGCTCGCCTTTTTGATAAAGCTGTGATGTATAAGTCAACTTCTGTGTATGTTATCTGCTGACAAACATCATCTGACTTGTCCATATATTTCATTTGCTTTCCACATGAATTTTATGATTTTTCACTATGTTTTGACAGAGCAGAGCCTGTTTATTTGGAATTCCCTGAATTTAAAGCAAACTTGCGTCGTGACTATTGGTTGGATATTAGTTTGGAGATCCTGCGCGCACACAAGTTTATCAGGAAATACAACCTTAAAGAGGCACAAAAATCAGAAGTGCTTGCTAGGGCTATTCTGGGCATTTTCCGCTATCGTGCAGTTAGAGAAGCTTTCCGGTTTTTCTCATCCCACTATAAAACTTTGCTTACTTTTAACCTAGCTGAAACACTTCCACGGGGAGACATAATCTTGGAAACCCTGTCAAATGGCTTAACAAATTTAACTGCTGTTTCTGGTAAACGTGATATTCCTGGGAATGTAGATACAAAAAGGCAACTGACAGTGTGTCCAGCAGCAGTTATGACACTTTTCTATCTTGGATTCAAATCAAAAAAGTTGGCTGATATTTCTGAGGGAACAACTTTTGTTAGTGATATCCGAGTTGGTGAGACACATCCCTTGGAAGCGGCAGTCAAAAAGTCCCTTTTGGACACTGGAAAAGCTGAAGCTGCGCAGGCAACCGTGGACCAAGTGAAGGTTGAAGGAATTGATACAAATGTTGCAGTAATGAAGGTTCATTATTATTTACATTCCATAATATTTTATTTCTGAAAAAAATAAATCTGACTTCCTTTTGATAAGGGAAATTATAGTAAAACAAATATGATTAATTTTGATCCTTAAAGATTTGCTAACCGGGTTGTGTTAGGATATCCATTGAACGACTTGGCCTCTCAAGCTCAATTTTTTTTATGTATGATACGGATAATTCTCTTAACTCCTTGTAGGAACTACTATTCCCAGTCATTGTATCTGCTAACCGACTACAGCTTTTGGCCTCATGGAAAGACTTTTACAAATCAACAGCCTTTTTGCTACTCGCCTGTTATTTGATTTTAAGGTATTTTATTAAATTCAGTATATGACTAGGTGACCCATATTAATATCCGTTTTTTTTTTTTCTATCTGCTATTTCAAAGTGGTTGCTTTCCACACAATTGTCAGTGTCACTCTCATTTAGTAAAACTTTATGCTGTTGAGAACTTTCCACTTTTCTCAATAGGCATATTTGATTCTAAACACTACCATATTCTGATTTATACATAAATTTCTTTGACATCAAATGTTTTAAAGGGCTTTTATATTAGTTAGTTCAACTCATTTCCCATGCATTTTGTATAAGTATAATAATCATATCCACTCAATCCTAAGCTATTGTGTAAGGACCAACAATGGTTTCCTTAATTTCTTAGCATTTTCCTCATCTATAAATGGTTGAAGCTCAGGTTCCTCACTACTCGATGTTAAATTTCAACATGTATTGATTGTTGAGAAATAATTGTAAATTCCACAAAATCACAGTCTAAGAGACTCGAAGAAAAGGAAAGAAAGAAATCAATATGGAATGATATTAATCAAAAGACCAAAAGTAGTTTTTATATTCATTGACTTGTGTTGCATTTCCTTTTCTCCAATGCTTGACATCCTCTTTGTCAAGGCTCATGCACATCAAATCACCACTTGATTTTTAATGAATCTGTCTTGTTTTTTTGTTTCTAAACTCATCTCATGCAAGATCCTCCATGTTGTGGCATCATTCTGCATACCATTGTCACTCTGTACTTCAACGAGATATTGAGGATGTTAAATATAAATGCTAGAATTAAGTGTTTAATAAGTTGTGTTAATTTTGTTTTATTGATCAAATTAACTGTCACCAGGATCAGACAAGATAACTGTTAATAAATGATATTATTATTTTGAAACTGGCTTCCGTGGATTGAATGAATAAAGCAGTTGATTAACGCTGATGTACAGGGGGTGGATCCAGTACTTACTGCCATCCATTTTTGTGTTCATTGCAATTCTCATGCTCTGGCGAAGGCATTTCAGAAGGGGACGACCATTAGAAGCCTTCATAGTAACTCCTCCCCCAAATCGAAATGCTGTAGAACAACTGCTGACATTACAAGAGGCCATTACACAGTTTGAATCATTTATTCAAGCAGGAAATATTATTCTCCTAAAATTGAGAGCTCTTCTACTTGCTATATTACCACAGGTGAGTATCCTAGTCATGCTCTATTTCTACAGAGAAAAATTAAAATGCTGTGCATGTAGTTGGGCCAAAACATTTTTTAATATGCGTACATTAACTTGTGGGGTAATATAATTAGGTTTGTGCTGTGTTTAGGTAATCCACTGTGAATGAAGTAGATATGTTTTAAAACAAATGAAAAGCACTTCATTAAATGTTGGAATTTTTTCAATCTACAAAATCTGTTAAGTGGAATGGGTTTCTAGAAAGGGAGCGAGGAGGAGGATAAGGCATGCTTTGATTTGAACAAATGCAAATAAACACACAAAAATTAAACAAGCTCATCAGGACAAAATAGCAGTACAATATCTCTGCATAGCAAAGTTTTAATTATGTGTGGAGTAACGGCAAATTGTTAGCCAGTTCCCTGCCAGATATGTTTGTTGACTGAAATAGATTATAACCATATAAATTATGTCATCCTTTGTAGCATCGCTAGTTTCCTAATTTATGACTGATTGAAATATAAGTTTTATGATTTATAAAGAAATTGATAAATAATGTTTGTTCTACAGGCAACGGAGAAGGTTGCACTATTACTTGTATTGACAGCAGCAGTGTTTGCTTTTGTTCCTCCAAAATACGTACTTTTGGTGCTATTCGTTGAGTATTACACAAGGCAGATGCCATGTAGGAAAGAGAGTAGTGATAGATGGATAAGGCGGATTAGAGAATGGTGGGTCAGAATACCAGCTGCTCCTGTCCAGCTCGTTAAGCCTGATGACAGCAAGAAAAAAAAATGATATTGCGTTACGCGACCGAGTCAATCAAAGGTTGATTTTCTAGGTAACCATCATTCATTAGCCGTATAATCTAGTTTATTCGTTCGTTTGTTTATTCTTTAAGTATGAATTCTTTTCGTTTTTGCCAGCAAAGTTGTATATTCTCTTACCTCTTCTCTGCTTCCTCCTTATATTAAACCCGAAGCAGTTTCAAAGTTTTGTACGGTTTCATCCTAACACGTCTGATTTCTAAATCTAATGATATAGAAGGAATCCCTCTGTTGAAAATCGTTATTATCAGATTAGTTATGTTACGCAAATATGGCCGGTCAATTTTGATCATGGGTAATTGTTGAGAACAAGTTTATTTCAGTGTCGTTTCAATCAACCATACCGAAGTGGCTCTTCAAAATTTAGAAGATATAATCTTTTTATTAAAGCACTAGAATTTAAACTAGGCATCACTAAATAACTCCCGAGTGTGGAAAAGAAAAATACGAGTAATCATCCTAATTTGATCCTAAAATAAGGTACTCAATTTAGTTCTTCGATACAGCAAATTATTTTCAAAAAGTATTAATAAGACATTTTAATCTTTCTTTTAGTTAATATTTTCAAGAATCAATTTAGGGCCGCTAATGATCTTTTAAAGAAAAAATTAATCAACAATCACTTTTTAAGAACTGATCATATTACTAAAATTAGAAAGAATTGGACCAAAGTATTTCATATTTATAATCTTGAAAAATTATTTGGTGATTCTTTATTTCTTAATCGAATCGGCTTGGGTGCTTCTTTCAGGAACAATTGGAAGTTCCCTTGAAAAAAATGTGCTTGACTTTACATGTTCAATACAGGAGAGCTTTCAGTATCTCTTCCAAGGGAACCAAGAAATAAAACAAGCATCGTTTAGGGAAAGCCTAGGTTAACGAGGATATAATGTTTAGGGAACCCAGGTTAACGATAACTTTCCCCCCCTAGACGAAATAGTAATACAATGTTTACAGTGCCTCTCCCCTCGCTTTTTACATATTCCTCCAAGACAATGTGAAGAAAATTTGCTCGTAAAGGTGGTTGGATGAATTCCTTCTGTTCACAAAAACCTTCCGTAACTCCTTGTATCCCTGAGAAAATGCCCTAAAGATCCAAACTTGCACAAGTTCTGAAATCTTCATCAGTACTACAAAAGTAATTGCAAGAGGAAATGCAGACACGATATTGGACCACTTGATTCTTATTTACACATTTTCTGGCCAGAACTCTCTGAAGAAAGTGCGCTCAAATTCCTTCTCCTGCATCTTCTTTTCAAACTCCTGCATCTTTCTCATCCGTTTAGAAAGTGTTTTGGTTTTCTTTCGAGGTAAATGGTCCTGAAATTTTTGATGTCAATGGAAAGCAGGAAATCATTTGTAGTTAAAAAAAAAAGTGAGAGAGAGAGAGAGAGAGAGAGAGAGTGGTGAGTTATGTAAAAAAAAGTAAAGATGCTACGGTAACTTGTATTGATTTCAAAATGGCTAACAAGAGCAATGAAAAAAAAGCTGTGTTCAAAATGGCTAATAAGGGCAATTGTTTGCAGCCAGTAGAGTGCGACAAAGAAAGAGAATGTAACATTTCATGACAGCAAGTTAATCTACTGCAATTACAGGGGTGAAAAAAGGGTAAAACCACATGAAGAATCATTATGTCACCTCAGGTGATGACTCCAAGTGAACGAATTCAGCTTGTTGCAGAATCACCCCTCAACACCCCCCACCCCCCCCCCCCCCCCCCCCCC